GGCATGATATATACTTAAAGTGATGAAAGTGAAGAACCTACAACCAAGATTACTCAACCCTGCAAGGATCTCATTCAGATTCGATAGACAAATCAAAAGCTTTACAGACAAGCAAAAGCTAAGAGAATTCAGCACCACCAAACCAGCTATACAACAAATGCTAAAGGAACTTCTCTAAGTGGGAAACACAAGAGAAGAAAAGGACCTACAAAAACAAACCCCCCAAAATTCAGAAAATGGTAATAGGAACATACATATCGATAATTACCTTAAATGTGAATGGATTAAATGCTCCAACCAAAAGGCACAGGCTCGCTGAATGGGTACAAAAACAAGACCCATATAAATGCTGTCTACAAGAGACCCACTTCAGACCTAGGGACACATACAGACTGAAGGTGAGGGGATGGAAAAAGATATTCCATGCAAATGGAATCAAAAGAAAGCTGGAGTAGCAATACTCATATCAGATAAAATAGACTTTAAAATAAAGAATGTTACAAGAGACAAGGAAGGACACTACATAGTGATCAAGGGATCAATCCAAGAAGAAGATATAACAATTATAAACATATATGCACCCAACATAGGAGCACCTCAATACATAAGGCAACTGCTAACAGCTCTAAAAGAGGAAATCGACAGTAACACAATAATAGTGGGGGACTTTAACACCTCACTTACACCAATGGACAGATCATCCAAACAGAAAATTAATAAGGAAACAGAAGCTTTAAATGACACAATAGACCAGATAGATTTAATTGATATTTATAGGACATTTCATCCAAAAACAGAAGATTACACTTTCTTCTCAAATGCGCACGGAACATTCTTCAGGATAGATCACATCTTGGGTCACAAATCAAGCCTCAGTAAATTTAAGAAAATTGAAATCATATCAATCATCTTTTCTGACCACAATGCTATGAGATTAGAAATGAATTACAGGGAAAAAAAACATAACACAAACACATGTAGGCTAAACAATACGTTACTAGATAACCAACAGATCACTGAAGAAATCAAAGAGGAAACAAAAAATACCTAGAGACATATGACAATGAAAACACAACGATCCAAAACCTATGGGATGCAGCTAAAGCAGTTCTAAGACTGAAGTCTATAGCTATACAAATCTACCTCAAGCAGCAAGAAAAGATCTCCAATAAACAATCTAACCTTACACCTAAAGGAACTAGAGAAAGAAGAACAAACAAAATCCAAAGTTAGCAGAAGGAAAGAAATCATAAAGATCAGTGCAGAAATAAATGAAATAGAAACAAAGGAAACAATAGCAAAGATCAATAAAACTAAAAGCTGGTTCTTTGAGAAGATAAACAAAATTGATAAACCATTAGCCAGACTCATCAAGTAAAAGAGGGAGTGGACTCAAATCAAAAAAATTAGAAATGAAAAAGGAGAAGTTACAACAGACACCACAGAAATACAAAGCATCCTAAGAGACTACTACAAGCAACTCTATGCCAATAAAATGGACAATCTGGAAGAAATGGACAAATTCTTAGAGAGGTATAACCTTCCAAGACTGAACCAGGAAGAAATAGAAAATATGAACAGACCAATCACAAGTAATGAAATTGAAACTGTGATTAAAACTCTTCCAACAAACAAAAATCCAGGACCAGATGGCTTCACAGGTGAATTGTATCAAACATTTAGAGAACATCTGTCACCTATCCTTCTCAAACTCTTCCAAAAAATTGCAGAGGAAGGAACACTCCCAAACTCATTCTATGAGGCCACCATCATCCTGATACCAAAACCAGACAAAGATACTACAAAAAAAGAAAATTACAGACCAATATCACTGATGACTTTACATGCAAAAATCCTCAACAAAATACTAACAAGCAGAATCCAACAACACATTAAAAGGATCATACACCATGATCAAGTGGGATTTATCCCAGGGATGCAAGGATTCTTCAATATACGCAAATCAATCAATATGATACACCATATTAACAAATAGAAGAAGAAAAACCATATGATCATCTCAATAGATGCCGAAAAAGCTTTTGACAAAATTCAACACCCATTTATGATAAAAACTCTCCAGAAGGTGGGCATAGGGAGAACCTACCTCAACATAATAAAGGCCATATATGACAAACCCACAGGAAACATCATTCTCAATGATGAAAAACTGAAAGCATTTCCTCTAAGATCAGGAACAAGACAAGGATGTCCACTCTCACCACTATTATTCAACATAGTTTTGGAAGTCCTGGCCATGGCAATCAGAGAAGAAAAAGAAATAAAAGGAATACAAATTGGAAAAGAAGTAAAACTGTCACTGTTTGCAGATGGCATGATACTATACATAGAAAATCCTAAAGATGCCACCAGAAAACTACTAGAGCTAATCAATGAATCTGGTAAATTTTCAGGATACAAAATTAATGCACAGATATATCTTGCATTCCTATACACTAATGATGAAGAATCTGAAAGAGAAATTAAGGAAACGCTCCCATTTACCATTGCAACAAAAAGAATAAAATACCTAGGAATAAACCTACCTAGGGAGACAAAAGACCTGTATGCAGAAAACTATAAGACACTGATGAAAGAAATGAAAGATGATACAAACAGATGGAGAGATATACCATGTTCTTGGATTGGAAGAATCAATATTGTGAAAATGACTATACTACCCAAAGCAATCTACAGATTCAATGCAATCCCTATCAAATTACCAATGGCATTTTTTATGGAACTAGAACAAAAAAATCTTAAAATTTGTATGGAGACACAAAAGACCCCAAATAGCCAAAGCAGTTTTGAGGGAAAAAAACAGAGCTGGAGGAATCTGACTCCCTGACTTCAGGCTATACTACAAAGCTACAGTAATCAAGACAATATGGTACTGGCACAAAAATAGAAACATAGATCAATGGAAGAAGATAGAAAGCCCAGAGATAAACCCATGCACCTATGGTCAACTAATCTTTGATAAAGGAGGCAAGGATACACAATGGAGAAAAAACGGGAGAGGCCACAGCAGTGGGAGGCCCACGTACCACAAAAAAAAAAAAAAAAAACTCAAAATGGATTAGAGACCTAAATGTAAGACCGGACACTATAAAACTCTTAGAGGAAAACATAAGAAGAACACTCTTTAACATATATCACAGCAAGATCTTTTTTGATCCACCTCCTAGAGTAATGGAAATAATAATAAAAACAAACAAATGGTACTAAAGAAATTTCAAAGCTTTTGCACAGCAAAGGAAACCATAAACAAGACGAAAGGACAACCCTCAGAATGGGAGAAAATATTTGTGAACGAATCAATGGACAAAAGATTAATCTCCAAAATATATAAACAGCTCATGCAGCTCAATATTAAAAACACAAACAACCCAATCCAAAAATGGGCAGAAGACCTAAACAGACATTTCTCCAATGAAGACATACAGATGTCCAAGAAGCACATGAAAAGCTGCTCAACATCACTAATTATTAGAGAAATGCAAATCAGAACTTCAATGAGGTATCACTTCACACAAGTTAGAATGGGCATCATCAGAAAATCTACAAACAACACATGCTGGAGAGGGTGTGAAGAAAAGGGAACCCTCTTGCACTGTTGGTGGGAATGTAAATTGATACAGCCACTATGGAGAATAGTATGGAGGTTCCTTGAAAAACTAAATATAGAATTACCTTATGATCCAGCAATCTGACTACTGAGCATATACCCAGAGAAAACCATAATGCAAAAGGACACATGCACCCCAATGATCACTGAGGCACTATTTACAATATCCAGGTCATGGGAGCAACCTAAATGCCCATTGACAGATGAATGGATAAAGAAGAAGTGGTACATATATACAATGGAATATTACTCAGCCATAAAAAGGAACGAAATTGGGTTATTTTGTTGAGACGTGGATGGATCTAGAGACTGTCATACAGAGTGAAGTAAGTCAGAAAGAGAAAAACAAGTATCGTATATTAATGCATATATGTGGAATCTAGAAAAATGGTAGAGATGAACCGTGTTGCAGGACAGAAATTTAGGCACAGATTTAGAGAACAAACGTATGAACACCAAGGGGGGAAAGCTGTCGGGGGTGGGGTGGGGGTGGTGTGATGAATTGGGCGATTGGGATTGACACATATACACTGATATGTATAAAATTGATGACTAATAAAAACCTGCTGTATAAAACAAACAAACAAAAACCAATACTCTCTTATCCGGTAGTTTTATATAGTAAAAGTGCTACCTTGTGAAGCTTATGCTCTGCTGTGATTACAATGATCCTTCAGATATCCTCTGAAGGAAGAGCATTACCCAGTCTCATTTAATAAGATGTTAGGAATAGGAATAGTTTGGCAAATGCACATTTAAATGGCATGCCACTTATTTTAGTAGAACTGCTATCCTGTTTGTATCCACAGAGTATGATTGTCATTATGCCTGGGCTGTGCCATTGGATGTTGAAACTCCTGTTCTTAAAAATTGAATTTGTGAGACTGGTTAGTAATTTAATGTCTTTGTGCTTTGGTTTTCCCATTGATATAAAGTAATGTCTATTAAAGTCTATTAACTTCAAACTAATGATGTTTGAATTAAGGTTTTAAATGTAAAAAAAAAAAAGAAAAAATCAAATAAACCCCTTGTATGTTTTGAAAGAATATTTAAGTTGTCTGAAATAAATTTTGAATTCTTCAATCCCACTTTGATATTTAGAGTGCTATGATCTTGAGAAAATTAATAATCTTGCTAAAGCCCAAATTCTTCAGCTATATACTTGGGTTAAGAATTAAGTGATTTAATGACTGTGCTTGGTACAATGCAAGCCCTCAATAAGTGGTAACTATATTATCATTATTAGTGTTTTATTTTGAAAATATGCTCAATCCTTATTATTCTTGGAGTCTATATTTACGAATTTGCCTACTTGTTACAATTTATTTGTAACCCTAAAATCAATACTTGTGGTATCTACGGTTGTTTGCAGATATGTGCATGGAGAAAGCAGTGAACAAATTGTTACCTGAAATGCACGTTCCCAGCTGAAGTCAAACAAGGTGACCTTATGTCTTCTTTTTAATTAATTAATTAATTAATTAATTTATTTTTGTTGTGTTGGGTCTTTGTTTCTATGCGAGGGCTTTCTCTAGCTGTGGCAAGCGGGGGCCACTCTTCATCGCGGTGCCCGGGCCTCTCACTATCGCGGCCTCTCTTTTTGCGGAGCACAGGCTCCAGACGCGCAGGCTCAGTAGTTGTGGCTCAGGGGTCTAGTTGCTCCGCGGCATGTGGGATCCTCCCAGACCAGGGCTCGAACCCGTGTCCCCTGCATTAGCAGGCAGATTCTCAACCACTGCGCCACCAGGGAAGCCCCACTTATGTCTTCTTGTTTCAGCTCTCACAGTGTAAAGAAATGTCCTTTTTGTGATCTGTTTAGCCACGTTTTCCCCATTTTTGTGCTTTTCGTTGACGATATCAGTGTTTATGCTGGCCGCCAAGCATTGTGCAGTAGTGCTATTCCTAAGAGCAAGAAGGCTGTGATGTATCTTACAGACAAAATACATGTGTTAGATAAGCTTCAATCAGGCATGAATTATAGTGCTGATGGCCATGACATTATTATTAAGTTGTATTTAAGCAGAAAAACATGTAAACATAGTTATGTATTGATCAATTGGTAAAAATATTGTGACCAAAGTCTTGTAGAACCTAACCCTGTGTCTCCCCTAAGAGCAATGTTTCAATGTTCACTAATTCAGTGTTTGTGGTAACTTGATAGAACATAACTACCAAGAATAATGAGAATCAACTATATCTCTATTGGAGTCTGGCTTTAAAAAGCACCTGCTATTTAGTGGACTTCTACACAAACAAGACTACTGGAATTCTCAGAATAACTTTATTCTTATAAATACCAGAAGTACCTACGTATATCAATATTTGATATAACCCAGCAAATATTAAGGATCAAGGCCAAATTTAATTTATGTCACTCTAACTGGGGTTCCCCTGGTTTTGTCTTGTCAACCTGGTAGCTGGAAAGATAAAGCATAAACATAGTGTACAAGAAAATAGTTTTTATTTCCAAATATATGACTTAAATGAAAAGACATTTTGGAAAGAAGAAAGATTATTTCTTACAGAGAGAAGCATCCTTCCCCTCAGTCAAACCCGCACCAGGGCAGAACATTAGAGAGAAAGAAATGCCTTGAATAAGAGAGATGTTTTCATAAATTCTCTCCCCTTCTGAGCCTGCGAGTTTACACAGTCGTGGCATTGGTTACTAGTTTGCATCAAAGTATTGAATGCAATTATGGAAAGGAAATCTTGGGAACTAGCACACTAAAATATTATCCATAATTATTGCCTCAACATCTCTCAGAAGATGAGTTTTGACAGAGAATTGGGCACAAGGAAGTGAGAAGAGGGAAGGGCAAATTTGTACTGGGAGAAAGGTCAGGAAAAGTCTAGGCCAAGATGGTGGTTCTTAAACATCAGTGAGATTTAAGGATCACACTAGATCAAACTAAAACACAAATGCCCAGCCCCACCTCTTGGGATTCTAAATTAGTAGGAGTAGTTGGAGCACCAGGAACCCAGATGAGATTGTCCTGGACCACACTGGGTGCTGATGGGATGGGCATCCAGCTTGGAGGAGCTGTGGCGCCTGCTGATAGAGCCCTCACCACTCACCTGAATATGTTCCTATGCATTATCTCGAGGATGTAACGCACAAATGGAGTGATTCTCTGGGAGAGGAAAACTTACAAGGATATGCTGAACAGACTGAGAGGATGAAGGGTTCTGAGAAACAGTGCTCATGTATAATTTTTTTTTTTTATAACTGTTCCCATTCCTTTTGGGGGCCTATAAGGTGAATAGGCAGAGGGTATTTGGATTTTTTGCTGGAATGTGGAATTTCATGATTAAAGCTGTAACATTCATTGCTTCTAAATTTACATTTTAATGTTGCTGATTCATGGGGAAAAAATTTAAGTCCTAAAATTCCAAACACTTATGTCTGCATGCCAAAAACGGATTCACTCAATAGTAATATATTTCACATACTTCCATAGACAAATTATTGACTTTAAAAACCAAAAAAAAAAAAAAAACCAGCTGTACTCATTCTTTAGGGCCACTAACGATGACCACTTACTCTGTCCTTCATTCATTCAACAAATCTGTATGGCATTTAAGATACATTAATGTTGACAAGCTTAAATTCTGGTAGCAAAGACAAACAATAAGTAAATAGTAAATTAGATATTATATTAGAAAGTGGTAAGAGCCATGGGAAAACAGAGAGTGAAAGAGAGAGTTGGGGTTCAGCAGGTCCAGGGACAGTAGTAGTTTATAATTTTAATTAGGGTTTTCAGTGTAGGCTTATCATTTGAATAAAGACTTGTAGGGGCCTTCCCTGGTGGCGCAGTGGTTGAGAGTCCGCCTGCCGATGCAGGAGACACGGGTTTGTGCCCTGGTCCGGGAGGATCCCACATGCCGTGGAGCCGCTGAGCCTGCACATCCGGAGCCTGTGCTCCGCAACGGGAGAGGCCACAACAGTGAGAAGCCCACGTACAGCAAAAAAAAAAAAAAAAAAGACTTGTAGGAAGTGAGAAAAATGACCATGCAGAATTTTGGGTAGAGGGACTGGCCAGTGCTAAAGCCCTAAGACAGAGAGCCTGTGTGGGATATTCGAGGACAGGAGGAACAAGTAGTCCGGTGTGGCAGGGTGGCTGTGTACGTGGGAGGGGACGAGGTCCCTCCAAAGAGGGAGGAAGAGCAGAGCAGAGCGTATGTGGCCTTGTAGGCCATTGTAACAAGCTTGGCTTTCACTCTGAATGGATTAGGAAGCCACCGAATGGTTATGAGCCGAGAAGTGACTTGATCTGACTTTTGGTTTTAAAGGATCACTCTTGACTACCGTGTTGAAAGCAGCCTGTTAGAGGGCAAGCCTAGAAAATATTTGGGAGGTTAGAGCAGTAATCCAGTGGGGAGAAGGCAGTGATTTAGACCAGGATGGTGGTAGTGAAGATGGTGAGATGCAGTTGGAATCTGGATATATTTTGAAGTTTTCTGACAAATTGAAGTGGGATGTAAGAGAAAGACAGAATTCAAGGATGTTTCTCTGGATTAAGAAAAAGAAAGACAGAGGTGGCATTAACTGAGATGTCATCCTGTGTTTTGCCTAGCAATGTACCGTATTCAAAAGCCTACATTGGTTAAATGTGTAACCTCTGGAGGCTGACTGCCTAGGTTCTAATCTTGGCTCACCACTTACTAGCTATGTAACCTGGAGCAAGTTACTTAACATTTCTGTGCCTCAAATATTTTTTCTGTGAAATGGGGATAATGACAGTACCTACCTCACAGAGTTGATGCAATTCAATGAATTGATATATGAAAGCACTTAACAACAGAACAATTTAAATACTAGCTGTGAAGAAGTTGCATCTCTTATTCCCACACTTCATTAGAGTTGGTTTTTCCCATTTCTTTCCATAATGAGTCACTTGGTGACTTTTAGTTAGGAAGTTGTAAACCTTTCTGGGAACTTAAGAATAAAGGGTAAGTATGATTTCCATTTGCCAATTTGTGAGATGAGAATTCAAGGAGCAAAAGAAATAATACTTGGACATGCCAGAGAAAATGTATACACATTCAAATGTTAAAACCAAAAGCAATTATTCTCAGATTCATGCTTTAGCCTTTAATGTTAGAAAGAATAAAGAGGGGAAATGTTTGAAAAAGAGACCTTAGATATCATCTAGCTTCACCCTTCCTTTATTCATTCCACATTGTTATGTAGCACAGATGCCAGTGCCCAGGTGTCACCTGCTTGGGAGCAACTAGACCTCTAATATTAAAGTAAGATTGACTCAAGCCCTTTATATAAATATGGGGAAAACCCAGCGTCTATCTCAATATCTTCAGTAGTCCTCGAGGGGCGTACCTTTCTCATCACTCTACTCCAATTTTCTGTTATCTGCTGAGATCTCAGGCTACTCCCCTCTCTGATGTCTTTTTTTACATCCTGTTCCCAACATTGGACACAGCCTGGATTATACTCCCATTTCACAGAGCACCACTAATACAAGGTTGAGAGTGCAAAGTGTTTACTGGAATTCATGTTAATAATTAAATGTTACAGAGCTGTACAGTATAGGAAACAACTTCAAAATCATTACCAGAACTCTCCAAAAGTCTGGCAGTTAGTCCCTGTCACAGAGAATTTCAGTGTCTCCTGAACATACTTTTGTGCCCCCAGGTCTCTCCTCTCTCAAGTCACCTCCCCCACCTCCAAATCTTCTAATTCTTATTTCATCATACAAAGCAGTTTAATACTTTCTTCCCATCTAAACTATCACTGCAAGCAGATGCATAGTACTATGCTGATAAAGACATTTATTCCAGTCACCATCGGTTACATTAACTCTTAGAAGGCAAAACCTGGGATTCGTTCATTCAGTTGTATAACTGAGCTACTATATCAGGTACCATGCTGGACCTTGGAGAGGAAACCCATGGGCAAAGTGACTCTGCACTCACAGACTTACGGTCAACTAGCAGAGCTGGTTTACACGAGTGTATAATGCAGTTAGGTAGAGTATTAAGGAAAAAGTACAGGGGGCTATGAGAGTTTATAGCAGATTGACTTTATCTAGTGAAGATGGATTAAGGAAGGCTTCCTCGAATTGAGATTAGATCTGAAAGGTAAGAAGGAATTAAGAGGGGTGTGTGCAAAACTGGAAGGCTCTGAGATGCAAGGGATCAAGGTGATGGGAGCAACTAGCAGGCCCGTGTGTGTTGAGGAGAGAGGGGGCAGGAGGGAGCTCCCGCAGGGTCTCATAGGACATTGACCTCAGTAGGGTCTACAGCAAGGGAACCCCCCATCATTTAAGCCATTCTGGCTGCTCTGGGGAAGACTGGAATAGGGGGGAGCAGAAGTAGAAACAGGGAGGCCAGTGGGAAGGCTACGGGAGTAGTCCGTGCAAGAACGTATGGTGGAATGGTCTAAGGTACAGGCAGTGCACATGGCGGAAAGGGTGTGTGTTAAATT